GGTGGGTTGGCGCGGGGCTGTAAGGCCCCGAGGTGAGACGCGGCCTCTCCCGGGGCTGGTTTGTGGCGCCTCGGCTCTGCTCCCCCTTTCTGACGTCCTTGCTGGTACCTCGGCTGGTTTCTTGCTCAGGTCGTTGGTCCTGGTTCCTCCAGGTCTTTGAACGTGTTAACTTTCCCAGCCTGTCGGTGAACGCTTACCTTAGCTGTGAACGCTTGGACTGCTGTTCTAATTTTTTCGCTATCCCACAAGCATGTTAATTCATTATCACGTATTTCAGTCATTGCTTTTGTTAAAACAGAAGAACAGAGATGACAGGAGTCCCTTCTGAATGTCAGAGAGTAGTCCTTTGCAAAGGGAGGACTAGGTTTCCGTTAATTACCTCCTGCTTTTGTGAAGGTTCAGGAGCTTGGGCATCTGGTCTGGCCGTTACTTACTGACCTGCCTTCCCCGGGTGCCATGGAGCAGAGGGTTTTGCCTGAATCTGTTAGAGCGTCAGGCATGTGCCCACGCAAGATCAGATTTAGGGGGTAACTTCAGTTTATATCGAAGTCATAATTGCTGATTTTAGCGGGCCGTCAGGTTGCTTTTTACTGATATCTTCATAGGAGGTTTATGAAAAGTAGAGATTGCAGTAGCTAGGTGTTGAAAGCTAGGTATGTGACACGTTGTAGAGCAGAACATAGCAAGAATTAGAACTAGTTGAGTTTTATCTGTTTTTATTAGTGCTTGTGTCTGTACAGAGCTTAAGTTTTCAGCGTTTTACTTTAGTTTTGACGTAGTGCTCTGAGATGCTGTCACGTGCAACCACAAGTCATCGTTGTGTATTCATTGAGAAGGTCTTGTCTGAGAGAAAGCTCATGTTCTTGTGTCTGACTATATAAAAGGAAATGGGGATCTGCCAGATGTCTTATTTTACTTTCAGCTTGGTGCTCTGCTTCCACTCAGCGTTACATGTCTGAGTGCTTTCATCTTCTCTTCTGTTCCATGGTGGCTCTTCCAGCTTTGCTGCCTTACCTGACTAGAGTGTATTTAAATTCTCAGTTGTTGGTCCTTGTAGGTTAATATTTTGCATTTTGCGGCTATAATCTTATTGTCTCTGTGACTAACTGTGAGAACATAGTATCTCCTAATAGGGAAACTTCCAAATTGCGGAAGCACCTTTATATGTAGCTTCTCCATGTTTTTAATGCTAATTAACTGTTTGACTTTCCTATGGCAAGACCAGAAGTGCCTTGGTATATACTGAAATCAAGGTTTTCCAGCCGACCTACGCTCGTTTAGCGTTACTCTGATCTAACTGTTCAGTATAGATGTTTATTTATCAATACTTCTTAAGACAGTCTCTTATGATCCTGGCAAAAGTTGCCCTGAATTTCAGATAAGTCAGGCTTACCTTTTGTGTCTTATTATTTTCTCAAATAAATTACTCTGATTTCAGTTTGAGACTGCTGTCATCTATAACTCTTTGCTCGCTATCTCTGTTCTCTTCACAGGGTTTTCCGCTCTTGTGCGTTTTGGGAAAGGAAGGAATTATCTCACTAGAATATAGACAAAGTAGTTTCTTTCTGGAATTGCTTTCTTCCCAGTAGTGGTCTAACTGTGATCTTTGGGTGTTAACTCTTTCTCACTTCCCATAACTGTGGGATGTTAATTTTCCTCACTTCTTTTTGCAGTGCCTCTCGTTCCTTATGCAAGTCTTCGAATTGTTTCCCTAAAGCTTGCTCTTCCAAGTTTGCATCATTTTTTCACATTTCCTTCTCCTTTATTTGGTATTCCAGTTTTGTACTTCTCTACCAGGCAGTATCCTGCTGCTGTTTAAGATAAGAGGGCTGTAGGTTATAATGGTCCACTAATAGCTTTCCTTACAAAGTTGTTTTTGCTGTTCAGGAGCAATGGTAAATGAGTACAGAATTATCTGCAAAGGCTTTTTTTGCCAACCTCCATTGGGGGTTAATATTCTTTCATTCATTTTAAACTAGTCACTGTGTTTATATTATACAGCTGTCCTCATAAATTGAATAGCTGACTTTAGCGACATAAGTAACTCCTAAAAGTATGTTAACTGTTTAAAAAGAAAAATCTGGAGTTGAAGCTCCCTTTTATTTGGAATACTATCTAAAACAATAGTGTTACTTGAGAAATTGCTCTGCTTACTGCTTTTTCTCAATAATTTTGAAGGATTGTTCTTAAACTTGAAACAATCCTGGGTAAGACTATTCAGAGACACTTGCAAGTAGTTTGTGTTAAATATTTCATGTGTTGCATCAGCAGAATGCTTTCTGTACCCTACTTTGGTCACTGGTGATAATTTGTTCTAAACATGTTGTTTATTTTTCAGAATTCTGAGGATGTCCGATGTAAATGCATCTGTCCTCCTTACAAAGACCATTCAGGACATATTTACAACAAAAATGTTTCACAGAAAGACTGGTGAGTTTGTGGGACATCAAAATTATAATGAGTCTTACTAGTTAAAGTTGTATTCCATTGTGATTATATGCAAGCCTTCTGTAACAAGGCCAGGAGAAATTACATCTTTTGCATAACTTATTGGTAATTTACTTGTAAAAGTAGTCCAGAGTTCGTCTCCAGTGAGGGACAAGGCCCAAAACCCATAATTCTTGCTTTGTCATCTTTTTTTTTTGCTTGCGTGTTTTGTTATTTATTTAGACTTGAAAATAGTAGAGAAGAACGGGAGTGTTGTAACTGAGTAATTGGAGTTCAGTGATTTGAAATTGTTTGTAGAATGGCAAGGAAACATAGCCTTGGAGCC